GTGTACCGGCACCTTCACGAACACCTTCACCGGGTACGGGACATGCTTCTCCACGGTGTACGGCTGCGGCACGTTCACCTTCACCTCGTACGGGACGTGCTTCTCGACCACGTAGGGCACGTGCTTCGTCACCTCGTACGGCACAGGCACCTTCTTCACCACCGTCACCGTCTTCACGTGCTCCTGATGCCCGTACTCGCCGCCGCCGCCACCGCCGCCGCCACCGCCGCCAAAGTCGCCACCACCTCCGCCAAGGTCACCGTAGCTGCCGTGCAGACCGCGCTTCTCGGTCTTCTTCTGCGTAGGCTCGACGGACGACTTCGACTCCTTCTCGGCCGCCTTGGATTCCTCACCGCGACTCGGTAGCGTGGCCACTGCCACCAGCACGATGGCTATCTGTAGAAAGGGAACCGTGAGATGGTTAGTGCATCGTTGCCTCGCGGTGTCTTCTGTGAAAGTTTTCGTATGGTTCGCGCTGGCTTTGCAGAATATTAGTTGTCGATGGACTGCGAATGTTTGGGCAAATTGGAATTATTTGAGTGTTCTTTTTGGTGAAGTTGAGTGGGAGTTCGTAGTTTGTGGAAAATTGTGATGAACAAAAATGAAGAATTACAATTTGTAAACGATTAGTGAAGGTCTGAAATTGGTTTTGGGCCCTGTTTGTGTGTGGACAGGGTTTACAGTGGGTTTTGTGGAGACCGAGTGTAATGTTCTGTGTTAAAAAGTTCATGTCCTATTAAAGTAATGTTAATGGTGTCTATGAAGCTTGTTTGTATAGTTGTTAATAATGTTTTGTTGTGATAGAAACGATTGCATAAAAATCAGAGAAACTATAATTATCAAATTATTGTCACTGTTACATTAATCAGCAATGCACTGGAAAACTATAACAGAATAACTGTAAGAAACGTTGCTCCCCTTTTATTATAGAAATATTTAACTTACTCCAAACTCTATTAAAATGCTGTATTAAAAGTATTATTTCTAAAAAAAACTAGAATACTATAAAATCAAAAATAAACGGCAGACGAAAGATCAAAGTTGAAAATTAAATACTATAAATAAGAACCTTTAAATTCATTTCACGAAGATCACTTCGAAAAAAGCCAAAACTTCCAAATGATCTTACAAAACGAGAACCACGATGATCCTGTCAAACCGTATAATGATCCTCTCGCCCTCCAAATCCAATCAAATCCAAAATTTCCTTCTGCACTCGTGAACTCACTCGAATGTAAAATTGAAGTCGAATCGAGCCTAGGAAATTTCAAAAATTTCTCCATTCGTCGATCGCACCGTAAGCCCGACGAAGGTGTCGACCGCAGTTGATCGACGGATCTATCCCGACGCGGAGCAACAAGTAAGATTCACGGAAGTATTTGGTATACTGGCTTACCTTAATATTCATCGTCGAGTTCGCGTATGTTTTGTGGTGGCGTATAACCACTAACTGAACCGCTTCGTTTTCTAGAGTGAGCCTTATATACTCCGCGGCATAATGGCTCTGTACTTTCGCTGCACCTCATCGTCCGTAATACACTTGTGCGTCTCGTTTTGCATTCGCAAAAACGTGCTCGCGCGCGTAGATACACCACGGCCAGGGAATAGAGCGTGTGCGCCGGGAAAATCGTTCTATCTTGCCGACGTCGCGTTCGATCGCGATTCGATGGAAATTATTCCGTCGGATGCGTTTAAGATAACGCGGCTGCCGCTGTCGAACAGTTTGCCCTCCCCCCCACCACCGCTCTCTATGTTTCACTCTAACGTATCGAGAGACGGTTTCACGACCGACGTGTAAAATGGTACTCAGGAAATTGAGATTTAAGCAATCGACGGTATTGAATAAAAGTGAAAATGAAATCAGCGATTCACATCTCCTCAATATGCACGCGGAAACTGTGATTCGTGAACGTGATTCTAATTCAATGTCGGACGGAGCATGGAAATTTCATTGAATGCGATATTGGTTTTAATTATTTCTAATTGAGTTGATAACGATTTGTATTTAGTAATTTAATTTTATAATTTGAATATTAATTAGTAATTTAATTTTATAATTCTTCTTTTTAAATTTGAATGTCTGTCGAATTTATTGTATGGCCCCATCGAATTTTTCTAGGATCCACTGGATAGAGGTAATTATTTTGGCGAATGAACGTTTCAATTAAAAGAATTATTATATTTATTTTCTTTTCTTAAGAATTGAAATATTTTCTTTGCATCACAGACTTTAGATTCTTTAGAGTGTTCTACATTTGATTAATTCTCGAAAATGTAGTTTTAAGTAATTCTACGGTATATTATACAAGATTAAATTCTTATGAATGTGAAATGAAATTGTTGTTGATGCGTATCAATTTGAATAGTTAAATGAAGTTTTGATGGAGGAAGGAGATTACAGTTTGATTAATGGTTGCGCGGAAGAAATTGTAATTTGGTTTCGAGCGGATGGAGAAATTCTAGTGGACTCAATGATCAGGAGCTAATATTGTACTGAAATTGACTGGTCCTGGAGGAGAAAATTAATTTCAATTAAGTTTCAGCACAGCGAGGTGTTCCACTTTGATATATTTATTTCTACTTTAATTAACAGAACATTTTCAATTGTATATTTTAAAACTGAACCTCGTTACAACTTGCTGATATAGTAGAATTGCTGTTTACTACCGAATTAATGTTGCTACTTTACATACGACGCAAACTAATTATACTTCAATCCAATTAGCCCGTACTGCCTTAATGTTTCATCTTTGAATACGTGTTTTTTTGATTAAGGATAAACGAAGATTTAAACGGACTTTAAGAGGAGGTTCATTACTTACACGAGGATATAATTGTGTATTTGATAAACACATTGTTGTTCATCTTAACGTTTAATCTGTTTCAATTTCATTTGCTCATGCATAACATGAATCTGTAATAGTGTATGCAGGTGTTTCAATGCATACGTGTGACCATTGTATCTATTCATTAATGAAATTTATAACATAGATACCACTGAGGATTTAATCTATTAAACTCTTTTCTTAATTTAATTACCGGTACATAGAAACTTTCTCGTTTGACTAAATGATAAACACCACACTGTTCAATGAAACATAGCTAATAGGGAAATGGATTAATTAATTTTCACATAAATATCATATAGGCATCTCCTTTGTTTAAATTTTTAAATATTATTATTAAATATATGCATAAAAATGATAAAACAAGAGAAACATTATGCATTTATAAAAGCAATATTTAAAATTAACTATATTTCTTACTATATTAATATAATTTGACGTATTTTATCATTTGCAAAAACAAATTTTAATTGAATTTATTAATGTAAACGGACCATTTTATGATTGTTATACTCATTATTAATAATTTCACATTTTGTGATTATTTAAAATAGATAGCTTTATGTTATTCTTCCACCGCAATTAATCACGCTACGTGAAGATCCCCGAACTCATCAGTGTCCAGTGATTATTAAATTTGACCCATTTCTCCTCGAATTCCTGAAAACCGTGCGTCTAATGCGTTTTTGATTACTGCAACCTGTACATCGCACGCGTGTTCTCGTTATTATATCACGGACACCAGCGTGAAGTAAATTGACGGAAGTTGACGTTCACGCAACCATGATTCGCGTATATACCTTACGTGACGACGAACTCGCGATTTCCTACGAGAGTTCTTATTCGACGTGAAAATCTGGAACGTGTGACGCTGCCGGATAACAGTAACATTGTTCGAAGTAATTAAAGGATCCGGTGAACGAATGATTTATTTTCAGGAAGAGATCCAAATGTTTTGAATCGTTTAATCAAAGATATCATCGTTGAATGAAATGAAATAATAAATGATTGCACCAATTTATGGAAAATAAGCATAATCGACAAAATAATTGAAAAGAAATAATTTAAGAGTACAAACTTTGAAATAAGAACATTGGGAAAATAGAAATCAGTAACAAACAAAATCTACCAAATAGAAAAGCTGAAAGAAAAGAAACAAATAACAAAAGAAACTTTCAAATAGTAAAACTGAAATAAAAGAAATAAAGAACAAAAAGAACTGTCAACTAACAAATCCGAAAAGAAGGGAAAAGCCAATAAAGGAAGCTTCCAAACAAGAAAATGTAAAATCAAGTGAAATTAATGATGCGTGTGTATTGTCAGAAAACGTCACTAATGTTCATCCGGTTCGCGTTTTCCCTGGTATGCGTGTGCCCCCTCGTTAATCCGTATAACTATCGTGGAAGCTTATCTTCCGATAGCGTTAATTCGAAGCCCGGTCGCGGTTTCGCGCAAACCGTATCGATATCCGCGAAGGACGGCCATTAGGCGCGTGTAATTGCCGCAGAAATCCAAGTAAAGCTCGGCCGTACGGCTCGCATGCGGAATACCTAATGCCGTATGTTAATACGGTCGCATGCGGCAACACCATTTTGATCCTCGCGCACAGATAAACCGGCGATTTTTTAACGATTAATCGTTGCACTGGCATCCCGCTGGCTCGTATCGCCGCGGACGCTTGTTACCGCCGCCCCGCACACCTTATTTGCGCAATTTTCAATAAATATGGCGGATCCGGCTGTCCACCTCTGTTACGTGCTCATTCACCGAGTACACGGAATCAATGCGACTAATTTGATTAAATCGATCGATATCGCGCCCGATGCAAACTCTAATTATCCATTAATGTTCACTGTTAATTAATTGAAGGTAAGTTACACTCTAATTTGAAGGTTGAAGATGGTTACTCGGTTGATTTGTAGAATTCTTGGAAGCCTCTTTTAACCCCTTCGCGTATAACGCGTCAGACTCGTGACGAAATTTTTCAATTAAATTCGGCGTATCTAAATGGTATTTACTTGTTTTTTATATAAATAGAATAATACTTGTTTATTATTAATCTTTGACCTTTAGAGTGAACGTGGATACAGAATAAGTATCAAGTTCTTTTCTTTATCTATGAAATTAATAACGTCAAGGTAATTTTATTAAACGCATATAAGGTGTTAATTCTGTTTTTATTGCTCTTTTGTGTATATCTGCTTTTAGGGAAAGGTAATTTAATAAGATTTATTCTTAAGATTAAGCATTCACATACATATTTGTGGTTAAGTATGTACGTACATATTTTGAGCTTGTTGTTGGTGATAATAATTGATATTTTCTCGAAAATAATACTGCTCTTTTACTTACTTGCCTTCTCCGCCTTTTTTCTTTATGAAAAAATTCATATTTATAATTATCATAATTAATAAGATAAATGAAAATTAATTCTATGCATTAAGAACTCTTTAAACATTATTTTTTAAAGTAACATTAATTACAAATTATTGCAAGTTAAGTTCAATTTATTATTAGTTCATTATCGAGATACTGCAAAAATTCGTAAAATCTTTGTGATGGGGGATAATTAACGAATAGTTGAATTCAATTGCCTCAAATCTCTGTATTTGATTATTTATTAAATGTATTACAGTTCTTTTTTGCAATTTATGCATGTACTATTACATTCCATGCATACTTCCCGCTGAAATTCTTCAGTATTGCGGTGTATCTCCCGGATTCCAAGCAAAATTCCTGTACAGATTGTAATCGATGATTCATAATACAAAGATTATAAGGTTGTTTACAGATACGCATTCGTAGTTTGCGTGTTAATTATGCAGCATAATGTAATGAGAAAGTTTTCCTTCCTTTCTTGTCGGTTGCGAACGATCTCTTTCATTCTATTCGCTAACGATCTTCCGAATCTCGTACACAAGTTCTTTTTAATTTTGTAAGTGTAACACTGTGTTCGTTATTTAACATGATGATTACAGAATAGACTAATGTCGACAAGCGAATCTTATTTCTTTTGATAAAGTTTGATTTAATACTACTACGTTGAGTGAAGAGAAACGTCTGCATATTTAACGTACAAGGAAGTAATATCGTTCGCCATGTTTGTTCAAAGTTCTTTTCCCGAATCCATTTAATTTATCTGTTTACCGTTCATTATTTCATTATTTCAAGATTCAATACTAGTGAATAAAAATGTAAAAAATAAAGGAAAAGTTTTCTTAAATTATATTTCGTCGAATAAGTAATTACATTTAATATTCGGACATCACACAATGTTGAACCAACAAAGAAGAGGGTGCAGAGCTTCGCGTGACGAATCACGATTCCTGGTTTCGTCATAAATTACCTTGTTATATTACCATATTGTATAGCTTCATTGTTGATAATGAATGTCACATTACTCATTTATGTTTATTTTGGTCTAATAACTTCATCGATGATAAATTCTACGTAGATAAAAGTTTCTTGGCATAGTTAATTTTAAACTTGTTAGCCTTGAATTACTTGAATTACACACGTAGGGTAGAAGAATTTTAGCTGATTAAAACATTTCATGTTACAAAATTATAACGATAAAATATTGAATTTTGAATAACTAAGAAATCTAACAATGTAACCATATTAGTAAAAAGAACAATCATTTCACTTGATATTAAAAAGTAAAATCATTTATCTTCGATAACATACAAATTATTAATAAATACATACAAAATATTAAATTATAAAAGAATTTTTATAAATTTTCTTATTATTTTTGCAAAGGTATGTGGCCTCGTGGCTGTCAGACAAACGTGGAAATGCTATGAT